AATAGAAATGGCCCATATGGAAATATTGTCAAAACCACTGATTAAGTTTTACACAACAAGTGCGAGAGCAAACGAAAAGGTTTTAACTTTTTAATTTAAGGAACGAGGAATCTGATATAATTTCAATTTGTGATGAGATAAGATGTCCTCAAGTCTGTGTTTCGATTGGATTTTACATCCTCGCGGACTCTGCGAAGTGTCAGCTGCAGGCGAAGGTGCGGGGAATGCTCGTTATTAACAGCGTAACGGGCTGGGCGTTCACGCCATCGCCTTCATCGGCATCTCCTGGGCCCACCTGAGAGACCTCGTTAGCGCAGAGCCTGGAACTCCGGCCTGGGACGGGAGGGCTTGGGGAGGCACCTAGGTGGACCCGCAGAGGGGCTCTCAGGACCTGCCCCGGCCACCTGGGCACAGGCCGCTGCTAAGGGGGGAGGTAGGGGGTGGAGGCCCAGGGTAGGGGGAGCCCAGAAATCAGAGCTCCTGACTTGGGGGTGGATGGGAGCCGAAGCACCCTGGGGGGTGGGGGGAGGTCCCAGTTTGCAGAGGCAGCGCGCAGAACGGCGGGGTCTGCAGCGCAAGCCTGGTAGGAGGAGGGGCTGGGAGCCCTGTCCTCTGGCTGGGAGGCCCTGTACCCCTCCCAGGGGGTTGGGGGCCTGCTGGGCCGAGGGTATGCAACCACCCCGAGCTCACGTCCACCACCCACTGCACAGCTCCGGGTACACGGGCTCCAGAATGCCGTGACCTGATCGCACGGCCCCAACGCCCCCTTTGGGGCTTCATGAGCCCCCAACCACTTGTGTGCACGCCCCTGGGCCTACCCCGCGTCCACCACGGGCAGGGAGGTCCCTCCCAGGGCAGGACAGGCCCCCAGTGGGAAGCGAACGGGGAGGCCTGCGGGCCCTGGGGAGGCCCCTCCCCTGAGCAGGCCCAGCTCGACCCCTGGGCGCCCTCTGTGATTCGGCTATGAAGGCACAGCCAGCCCTGGGGTCAGTGGCCCAGGAGGGACCTGGTGGGTGGGAGGAAGCCGGGTCACTCCTCGATGTGTCACGTAGAGACCTGGGCAGCCCTTTCTTTCCGGGACCCCGAGAGATGCTGGGATGTGAAGACATAAGACCACACAGAGCTTCTGTTTGTGGGGCGACTGTGGCTCCCGCCCGCGCTCAGCCAAACGGGGCTCCTCCCCTGGGGAGCTCCCAAACGGGAGGGGGCCCTCGCTGGGGGAGTCCAGGCTCTGCTCCCCGCACCTCCCAGACGGAGGCCAATGACACCAAAACCCAGGCCCCGCCCATGCCCCTGCTTCCCGGGGGGCCAACCCCTGCGTCCCCATCCCGGTGGCCCCCCTCTGCCAGCTCTGCCCAGCCAAGGACAGCCCTGCTGTCCCCTCCTCCTCCTGCATCTGTCCTTTGTGCTGTGTGACCCAGGGAAGGCCCTTGCCCTCTCTGGGCCTCAACACTTTCCTCTGGGAAAGGAGGGGAGTTGGCTGGGGTGTGGGCACAGGGAGCTCAGGTGCCATCCATGGGAAGGGCCAGGCCAGCCTCAGTTGTCACAGACCGAGACTACTAACCTGTGCACACCCCCTGGCCTCCCCCCAGGCCCTGGCTGAGGGGGGAGGCTGGGACCAGCCAGTGGGGGATGCAGGGGTGAAGGAGGCAGGTGGGGACACCCCCCGGGGTCTCACAATTACTTACAGCCGCTGGGGCCTCATGTGCCCGCTAATCCCCTGCTCCTGGCCAGGGGCCGTGTCAGATGGGGGTCGCCTAAGGGAGCCCCTCTCTCTGACGCTCTGGGGGTGGGGGCCCACAGGCTGTGCAGACCCCTGCACAGGTGCGGGGTTGACAGCAGGTGGAAACTGAGGCCGGGGACGGGGTCGCGGCATCCCGCGGGCCAACCTCCCTCTGGGCCTGGGAGGCAGGGCCACCAGCTTTGAGATGTCCCAGAAAGCCCCGGAGCTCTTGAACCCCTTCCTGCATCCTTCCCGTCTCTCTCAGGTCCAAGCGGGGTGGGAGGGGCCTGCTGTGTGCCCTCCCACACCCCGTGGGCGCTCTGCCCACCTGAGCCCACGTACTTCTCCAGCCCCAGTGGGCCCCAACCACAGCAGGTCTGCGCCCGGCCCGGGGTTCAGGCAGGCTCTGTCCCCGGGGTCTATGGACACCCAGCAGCATCACTATTCCCCTTCCCAGATGAGAAAACTCGAGGCCGGAAAGGCCAGCCGAGTGGTCCAGCGTCACAGCTTGAGATGCAGTTTTCATTCATTCACTCAGTCACTCACCGGACAGTGTGCTGAGCTCCACCGCGTGCCAGGCCCCGTCCCGCGAGCTGGGGACACAGCCCAGCTCCCTGACTGGGGGACGTGGAGTATCCGTCTCCGAAGACAAAACCCCAAAATTCCGAAGGTGACCTCCAAGTGCTGCAAGCGGCCCGGGCGACGGGCCATCCGGGGCTCAGGGGAGCGTCTCCGAGGACAGGCCTGTCTAAGGAGCCAGGCTTGTGGACGGCGGGGTTCCAGGCGGAGGAGCTGCGAGGGCAGGGCCTGCGGCACGTCTTCCTGGACCGCGGCGGGCCGCAGAGCAGAGGCAGCAGTGGGAGGCCAGGGTGGAGGGACGGCGGGAAGCCGGCCAGCTTCCCCGGGGCAGCCAGGAGCCCCTGCTGGGTCACCCCCCACCCTGAGTTCCCAACGGCCCAGACCCTCCACACAGCCAGGTCTTAGTCCGAGGGTCGCCTCTGCCCTGAACGTCCTTCAGTTCAGGCCCCAGGCCCTCGGGGCTGCGGGGTGTGTGTGGGCGTGAGGGGCGCTGCCCAGGGAACGGCCCTCCCTGACCCACCTCCCCGCCCCGGACCCCGTCCACGGATGGGAACATGGTTCCGCTGGGCCATGTCTGGGGAAAGGCCCTGATACGTATTAAGCACCACCTGTGCGCACAGGCGGGATCTCAAAGCCCCAGGAACCACTCAGCAGACAGGGGCTTGCGTCCGGCTGGGCCCCCACTCGGTGCTGTGCCCTGCCGTGCCCGGCACCCCTCTGGGGTGTGGACCCCCTTGCAGTTGTCAGGGTCCCTGGGGTGGGTGAGCACTGGCTGATTCTCTTCCAAGTTGGGGGGCAGCAGTGAAGCCAGGCCCCACCTGTATCCTCAAGGGTGGTCCCAGGGTCCCTCCTGCCCTGCCCCCTGGCTGAATGGACGTTGCACGACCTGGTAACTTCCCTGCCCCTGAGGACACCTCCGTGCTTGTCCTGCCGTGACCGGGTTGTACGGGGCGTGAAGGCACTGGGCCCCCGGTGGACAGCAAGGACACCCTGCTGGCGGCTTGGGGCCTGGGGACGTGACCACCGGAAGGGGCTCTGCTACCCTAAGCCCACCCAGCACCCCCGGGACGGCCTCTGGGGTCCCAGGGAGCAGCCGTGATGGAGGGCAGCATGTGTGTCCCCAGCAGGACCAGCCCCAGTTGCCCACAGCCTAATGAGCTGGATAATACACGGTCGGTGGAATCCTCCCTGCCCTGTCTTAAAGATGCCTCGCACACCCCAGCCCACCCGGGCTCCCAGGACCACGTGGAGGGCGCAGCCCTGGGAGTGCTGGAGGCGGCCTCATGCTCCAGTCCCAGGCCACAGCTAACTTGCTGTGTGGCTCCAAGGGGGTTGCCTTGCCTCTCTGAGCCTCAGTTTCCTTATCAGTAAAATGGAGCTCCTTTCCTTAGTGGCCCTCTGCTGCCCCCTGGTGGTGAAGAGGCCACATTGCCGCAGGTCCCAGGTGGGGCATGCCTGGAAGGGCAGCGTAGGGGGCGCCGGGGTCTCAGCTAAAGGGTCAGGCAGGCTGGTCCAGGCCGCCCTCCACAGCCCTCCTCCTAACACGCAAGTCCCACCAGGGCCTCTGCTCAGAACCGCCTGAGGAAGGAAGCCAAGCTGCCCCACCTGGCCAAGTCCCTGCACGGTCCAGGCCCCACTGACCACGCAGGGCCACCCATCTCCCTCTATCACCCCACCCTCCGGGGGGGGCTCACTGTGATGGAGGGCAGCAGACAGTTTCTGAGCTCCTCCACCATCACTGCTGGTCCAGACACAGCCACGTGACCCCATCAACCTCACAGGCAACAAGCAACCCACCGGTCACCAAAGGCTCAGAGAGGGCAGGGCCCTAGCCCAAGGCCACACAGCCGAGCAGCACAGACATGACTGTGAATCCATCTCCACGCCAGGCAGCTGCCCTCCTTGCCCCAGATCACATCCTGACCTCAAGTTCCAAAAATCCCCACCTGAGCCCCTCCAACACCCAGTAAAGAAAGCAGGAGTAGTGAGAGGTCCTGGGGCCCAACACACTCGGCCAGGACCTCCCAGCTCTGTCCCTAGCAGGACCCACAGGTCAGGACCCGGCCTGGCACCCGGTGGGGAGGACTGGCACTTCGCCATCGCTGAGGGTCCAACGGGACCACCATGAAGGGCTCTGCAGTGCAGACAGCACAGGAAGACACAGCTACAGCCGCCGTACACAGGTGAGGAAGCTGGCGCCCGGAGGGGAGGTTACTCTGCAGGTCTCCCGAGGGTGGGGGGCAGCGCTGCTGAGGACTCAGGGCTGGGCCGCAAGGAGACTCTGCTCCCTCAGTCCTTCCCTGCACGGCTGTGGGCCCCCACCAGAAGTCGGGAAGGGCGGTGGGCCCCATTCCCTTGCTGGATGCCAGGAACTCGGTCCCAGGGTCCAGCTGGCCTCCGTCCTAAAGGTCAAAGTCACAGATCTTGACTGCGATCCCCACATGGGGGTAGGGCCAGCACCGACTGCAGCTTCCACAGACCCGCCCTGTCCCAGTTCCTGTAAGGCTCATGTCCAGCCTGTCCATGCAGCCAGGTCAGGAACGGCTAAAATGCCCGTGTCAGAGGGCCCGAGCCAAGCCCAGAGGGTCAGCGTCTTCTCAAGGCCATGGGCACATCCACGCTGGTGCAGAAATGGAACATGGCCAAGACCCCTGGGCTGCCCAGGAGCACGTGACCACATGGGAGAGGGAACCCAGGCCACATGGTCAGTTTCTTTATTGAGGCTGCTCAGACCCCACAGAGAGGGCGGTGCAGGTCCCACCACCCACGTTCCTACCCCACCCGCGTGAGGGTCCTGGAGCCCCACCAGGCAGCTACTCGGGGGTCCTGCTTCTGCTCTTCGGGGACCAGATGCTGGACAAGCGGAACCTGGGCTTCTTCCTCTGCTCCCCACCACTCCTCTGCAGGTCTGGGGGACAGACACAGATGGGTCACTCGCCCACCTGGTGGCCAGTGCCCTGCGGCCTTCCCTGCCACCCACAGAGCCTCCCAGGCCCCAGCAGAGCCCAACCCTCTGCCCTCCCCGGGGGAACCACCGTGCGCCTGCCCTTAGAGTGTCCACTGGGCTGGGCACGGCTGGAGAGCAAAGCAGTCCCCTCACCCCGACCACAGGGCCATCCGTGCTTCTTGGATCCCTCAAGCGATGGGGAACTCACTCCCCTAGGGTGAGCCTGCCATGTGGGTCCCAGCACCCACTCCTACAGGAGGCCCAACTCCCCCGGGGTCCAGCCCAGCCCCGACCTCCCACGCCACCCAGTCACCCATCTTCCGGATCATGTTCTGCAGGATCTCGTCCTCCTGCTGCTCCCTGAAAGAGAACGGCCGTGAGGACCACGCCCGCGGTGGGCCTGAGCCCACCCAACACCGGGGCACCTGCCCTCTCACCCGCCCATAAGCCACACACTGGCACCACCCTCTCCCCTCCCAGGGCAGGTGCCTGGCCCCTCGGGGCCCAGCCCCTCAGCAGTGGCCTGGGGACAGGAGGGGCCTGGGTGCACAAGAGGCCTCATCGGGGGAGAAACTCGAATACAGGCTGCAGGGCAGGGCCTGCCCTCGGCCTCTGGCCCCACCTGCAAGGTTTACGTGGCGGGAATCCCCCTCCCGATGGGCTCCGCCCTCCCCTGGGCCCCAAGGCCCTGCCCTCCCCTGGGCTCCACCCTCACCTGAGCCGGTCCTCATCCAAGAGGTCGATGATGTCACTGCGGTCATTGACGGTGTTCACGTACTGGTTCAGCAGGTCCTGCTCCCGCTGCCGGTCCTGGGGGGACTTCAGAGCCTCTGCAGGGACAGCTGGCATCAGCCGGAGCCCTGCTGTCCCCACGCTGCTCAGGGACAAAGTGACCCCACTCCCCAAGGGTCAGGCTCCTCCACTGGAAGAGGGGGTGGGGTCTTGGGGCCTATGGTGGGCTCTTGGCAACGCCGGTTGAATGAATAAGTGAATGTATGAATAAATGAGTGAATGAATGAATGAGTAAATGAACAGCCGTATCAGAGACTGGGCACTCACTACCCACCCCCTGCACACATTAACTCAGTCCTCACAACAGCTGAAGGAGGCGGCGCTAGAACTGCCCCCACTTTGCAGGGATGAAACCCAAGCACAGAGAGGTTGAGTGACTCAGCCAAGGACACACAGCCAGGAAGTGGAGGAGCTGAAACTCCACCGCGGCTCGAGAGAGTGTGCCATGATCGCCTCCTCCTGGCAGCCACCCGTGAGAGGGACTTGGAAAGCCGCACCCGTACCCGCCTCCTGGGACTGAGCCCCCCTCACACTCCCTCCCACCTCCGCTGGCCTGGGCTCCACGCTGGGTGCGGGGGACGCACCCGGCTTGGCCATCAGCCGGCGCAGCTCCCCCTCGATGTCCAGCTGCTGCTCCTCCAGGCGCTGGTCCCTGGCCCTGCCGCGGTGACACGGATGTGAGCCCGGCCCGGCCACTGGCCTCCCCGCGCCGGACAGGCCCATGCGGGGAGGAGCACCTTCCGGAGGCCTCAGGGGAACCACTCACCTGTGCGTCAGCTCAGACTCCAGCCTCAGCAGGAGCTGCTTCTCGTGGACGAGCCGGAGCCAGGCCACCATGAGGGCGTCCTCAGAGGCGCCTGCGGAGAGGGGCTGCTGGGCAAGGGGCGGGCGGGCCTGCGCGGGGGCGGGGCCCGGCCCCAGGGTGGAGCCGGCAGAGGGGTTTGCGGAGAGGGTCCGCCCGGGGCTCACCCTCCTTGGCCGCACGCAGGCGCTTCTCCAGCTCCACACCCCGGAGCTCCAGGGCATCCAGCTGCCTCTCGATGTCCTGCACCTGCCGCTGGATCTCCTCCTGGGGCACGTAGTCAGGGTGCAGCTGGGGATGAGGGCGTGGTGAGGGGGGTGGGGGCGGGGGGCCCCCCGGGGCTGAGCCCCTCACCCACCTGCACCCTAGCCTACTCACCCTGACCGGGGAGGGCACTGACTCGCCAGGCGGAACAGGGATGCCGGCCGGGCCCGAGGGCCTCCCTGGAGAAGGGGCAGGACAGGCCTCTTCAGGCACCAGGCCCAACATGACCCAGGCGTGGTCTGGAAGGGGGCCCGACCACCCACCCAGCCCCATCCTCCCGGGACACCCCCTGCACCCCGGCTTCCCTGCTGCACCCAGCAGGCCCCTGGGCAGCCCCGGCTGCTGTCCAAAGGGCGAGAGCTCACAGACAGACCCAGGCCCCGTCCCCGAAGTCCCTGTGTCCACCTGGGCCCCTGCCCTCCTCCAGGTCAGCAGCATCGGACACCCTTCCCACCAGCTGCCCGGAGCAAATGCTCCATCGTCGCCGAGCGCCTGCGGACTCCGGCACCAGGCGGCAGGTGAGGCCTCTACTTGGTCCACTGTCCCTACCCTGAAAGGGCCCGGGGCGCAGCCTCCGCCAGGTCGCCCCCAGGCTCGTCCTCCCTCCATTCTAGGCTCCGTGGGCTCCTATATATCCTCCAAATCCCCGCCGGGCACATCCTCCTAGAGGAGCCCCCTTCATCTGCACCCCAAGGAGGAACCGGGCGGCGTGCCTGGGCTGACCTGGTTCACCCTGGGGAGGGGCTTTCTCCTCCTTCTTCCGGCTCCAGGCAGGGGCTTCCTTCCCCGAGGGCTCCGGCTGAAGCCAGCTGCCAGAAACGTCTAGGCTGGCAGGGACCGCCAGCTTCCTGCGGCGGGATGGGGACTGGAAGGGGGAGGGGGATGCAGCTGCCCACGGGTGGGGGACAGAGTCACATGTCAGGTCAGCAGGCCCGGCGCCCTCCCCCCACTGCTTCCCTGAGCTGGGCCCCCCCAGAGGGGCACCAACATGGGGGTCAGCCCTCACAGCCACATCCTGCCCGACGGGAGGGGTCACGTCCACGGGCGGGGGAAGGGGCAGAATCCTGACCCTCAACAGCACATGGGGAAACGAGCCCAGTAGGTTGGTGACCTGTGCAAGGACGGCTGAGTGCTAAGAACAGACACGCACAGTCACGCACGTGCACAGGCATGCACACACGCATTACACATACATACCCACCCGCCAGGACCACCAGCTCCCCTGGCCAAGCAGGGCCACTGCCCCCAAGGAGAGGACCACCTAGACCCGGGCTGTCTGGCTGGAGACGGCCAGGGGGCTTCTGTCTGGCATTACCTAGGAGGCTGGACCCGGCCGGGCCTGGTGTCCTGTCCGCTCGCACAGGGGTCAGGGTGATGCGGACACCCCCCTCGGAGCTCCCAGAGACCTTCTGGGGTGCATGACCCGCCCTCGGCTCTCCCAGGACCTGAGGCTCCTTCAGCTCCAGAGCCCTGAATGGAAGGCAAGAGGTCAGGGGAGGGGGGACAGGCTGCCCAGCACCCCGGTGCAGACAAGCCTGGGGGACGCATGCCTGCCCGAAGGAGGGGCCTCGTGGCTCACGTCCCTGACTCTCCCACCTCCTGGAGCACAGGTGCATGTTGACAGATGCACCTACATCACAGGTGTGAGCATATGTTCAGGTACCCACAGCCGATGCACACATGGGCACCGGCCCCACCCCTACCTGGGACCCCGAGCATGCGTGACGGACCCCCGCGGGGCACACACAGGGCAGCCGCCACGCACAGCGGACCCGGACCAACATGGGCTCAGTCACCTGTGTGACCCCAGCGGCTGTGACCTCATCCACGGAAGGCTGCAGTGGCCTTCTCTCCCTCTCCATCCTAACTGAGCTTTCTGGGGGGGCTGTCCCCTCCCCACAGCGAATGGGGGTCCCAGCCCAGCACCAGGGTCAGGCCTGGTGGGTGCACACCAGTGAACGTGCTCGCATTCCCCAGGGCCTCCAGACTGGTTCAGAGCGAGGATACCGAGGGTCCTGATGGACCCTCCCTGACTTGCAAGTCCAGTTACACGAGGGCGCTTGGCCTGGGCCACTCAGGCCGGCAGGAGCTGGTTTCTGCTTCTACAGCTGACACGCACGGCGAGATGTGCACACAGCCCTGCTGTGGATGTCAGTTGGTGGGTGTGTGTGTGTGCTGTCACTCACCTGCAAGCACGTGTGAAGCGCCTACTGTGTGCCAGGCCCTGTGCTTGCCCCGGACATAGGCTCCTGTGTGTACAAACCCACGGCACGGGCATAGGTCCAGCGCCCAGCAGACCACCCACCGCTCACCTCTCAGCGGGGCTTTTCTTCTCCACGGGCTTCAGGCGGGCCCTCCATCCTGCCGGCCCGTCCTCCTGGCCCTCCTGGGGGCTGGCACTCGGGCCTGGGTGGGGGTGAGGGAGGGTGGTCTGCTGGGAAAGGCTGCACCTCCCCCACCCCTTCTTCCTGCTGCCATCCCACCCTCAGGTACCCCTGTGGCCAACCTGGCTCCCGGGAAGGAGCCACTGGCTGAGCTGGGGACAGGACTCCACCCTGTGCTGTGTGTGCCTGGGAGATTCAATTCACTGCCCCTCTCTGGGCCCCAACTTCCCCTGCTGCCAAACAGGCAAGGGTATGGCGGTGAGCCCCAGGGATGCAGACCGGCTGTGTGTGGGGCGGTGATGACCTGCAGGCCTCCTTGGCACAGGGGAGAGTGGCCTCCAGGCTGGAGGCTCAGCCACGGGAAAGAGTGGGAAGAATGCTTTGCGTGCTGCGTGCTGCCAGCTCAGTGATACCACGGGTGCCCCTAAGAGACAGCCCCAGCACCCAGAAAGGACCAACTCTGTAGTTCCGCAGAAAGTGTCCAAAACAGCCCAGGGCCCAAGGCCAGGGCAGTCAGGGGGGCTTCAGGGCCTTCAGAGCACAGGGCCACCGTCGCCAGGACAGGGCAGTGACGACGGACGCACATGGACAGCGGCGGCAAACGCCGCAGGAGAGGGGGGACTCCACAGAGTGCGGCAAAGCGGGAGGGCAGCACGCATGGGCACCGGCCCCACCCCTACCGGGCGCCGTCACCAGGGAACAGCAGCGCGGCAGGGGCCGGGCCACGGGGCATCCGGCAGGCGGGTGATGGTGACACAGGGTGACGCATCCCCAGGCGGGACCCCGGGAGCCAGACTGTGCGACAGCAAACCGCAGGCCGGGGAGCAGAGCGGCCGCAACGCATGGCGACAGCCTGGGTGCAGTGACCCCAGCTCCGCCCGTGACGTGGGGGCCCTTACCCTCGGCCCGCGGGGCCTCCGGCTTCAGCCTGGAGCCAGCACCCGCCCCGACGGCCCCTGAGGGTGCAGCCGAGGCTTTCCTGCCCGCCTGGGGCGGCGCGGACACCAGCGAGATGCTGCCTGCACTCCGGGGGGCCGGCGGCACGGTCCTCGCAGCGGCGCTAAGGGCCTGCGGAGACGCCGACTGTGGACGCGTGGCTGCTGGACTTGCTCCTGGCCCTTCGGACCTGGGATGGGAGTTGGGCGCAGGGCCGGTGGCGAGGGAGGGCCTGTGGGTGAGGGCGCAGGTGTCGGGCATGGCTGCATCCGGAAGCCCCCCCACGACCCCCAGGCAGAAGCCCCTCGGCCTCCGCTGGCAGCTGCTCCCCAGTGCCCACCCTCCCCTCCCGAGAGATGAGGCGGGTTGTAGGCAGACGTCACCCTCCTGTTCAAGCCCAGTATCGGCTGACATTAACACCCCCCCAGACCCACCGCGCCTAGGGCGCTGCCGTGGGATCTGCCCCCCGGGGCCTCCCTCCTCCACCCACCCGCCTGCCCAGGAGCAGCTGGGCCTTCAGCATGGAGGCCGAGCTCCATCCTGAGCCACATCCAGGAGGCCCGCACACGGCCACACTGCGTCCCCCCACGTGCACACGTGCCGGAAGTAAGGCTGTCGACAGGGCCCCCGGGCACCTCCGCGAGCCAGGGCAGCTCCTCCAGGTGCCCCGGGCCCCTTATGCGACCAAGTTCTCTCCCCCTGCTCCTCCCCCATCCCAGGCTGGGCTCCCAGGAGGGGCTGGGCTCCCAGGGGTAGCTGGGCCAGATGCGCCCCAGGGAGCACTCCCGGCAGAGTCCTTACACACCCTCACTCCCGACAGCCTCGGACAGCCCTCAGCGCTGGGGTGGCAGGCGGGCCCGCTGTCCCCCACCCTGTGCCCTCCCTGGGAGCCCCTGGCACCACCCGCTGGCCCGGGGGGTCACAGCATCAGCAGCTCCTAGCCGAGGCAGCGGGCGCAGCCCTGTCGCCAGCCCGGTGTGGAGGCTTGCTGGGCGACTGTAGCAGGGCCAATGGTGTCCCCCCAGATTCCCACCCCCCGGAAGCTCAGGGTGTGACCTGATTTGGAAGCAGGCTCTTGGCAGGTAAAATCAAGTTAGGACGAGGTCATCCTGGACTAGGGAGGCCCTGACACCGAAAACAAGCACGAAAAGGAGAGGACAGACGCACAGAGAGGAGGCCGTGAAGACAGAGGAGACGCGAGTCAAGGGCCGCGGGCGCCCTCAGGAGCTGGAAGAGGCAAAGGGAGCCCCCGCGGGCCTGCAGAGGGAGTGGCCCTGCCCACACCTGGAGCTCCGACTTTGGGCCTCCAGCTCTGTGAAGGAACAAGGTCCGCTGTTCCAGCCACCCAGGCTCGGTGCTGTGTCCAGCAGCCCCAGGACAGCAGCACGGCGACCCGCCTTCACCCCGTCACCCCATCAGCTCCGTGTCCATTGTGCAGAAGGCACGAGGCCCTGGGCAGCCCCACCTGGGGGGCTCGGACCACCCCCGGCCTCAGTTTCCTCATCTGTGAAATGTGTCCTCACATAGGACTGGGTGTGGCCAGGCCCCGGGCGGCAGCGTCACTGCACCCGTGCCCCCAAGCAAGTCAGACCGGCTCTACAGTGTACAGCCGCGTCCCCGTCCTGCCGGCCACCTGGCACTCTGCTCCCTTGTCTACGTCGCCACATTTCCCAGATGAGGACACTGTGGCAGGGCACAAGCAGCCCCGCCGTCACACAGCCCCGCAGGGCCAGAGCCCAGAAGCCCTCCCCAGCCGCCCCAGCCCCTCTGGCCTCCGGGCTCGCACCCCCTGCCCCTCCTTCTCCACCCACCTGCCGGGCGCCTGAGTGCCAGCTGCCCCCAGCTCGTGGAGGGCCTTGCGGAGGAGGCTCAGCACCTGTTCCCTGCTGCCGTCCCTGGAAGGAGCGTCCGCCGCAGCTGGGGCCCCGCCAGCCGGGCCAGCGCAGGGGGCAGCTCCAGGCGTCTGGAAGAACCTCTCCCGGGCCTGCTGCGTCCTGGAGGACGATGGGGTCCAGGCCGGGGCGCTCGCTGGGACCGGAGACGCTGGCCCTGAGCTGAGCTTGGTCTGAGGGGCTGCCCCTCGGGGGGTTACCCGGCCTTGTGGTGTGGCCGGGTGAGAGTCCCGGGCACTCGGGGTCACGGCGGAACGAGGGCTGCCTGCCGGCGACGACCACCCCGTCGGAGAGCTGTTGGTCACGCGAGTGCTGGCCTTGCCACCCACGGGGCCCACCGAGAGCCTGGCCCCGGCTGGGCTCCCCGCGTGGACGTGGGAGCAGGCGGTGGCCGGAGGGTCAGCTGCAGCCGGAGGGTAAACTTTGGCAGTCGGGCTGCCCACCGCGGGCTCCCACGCGGGCGGCCTGGCCTTTGGCCCTGCGTCTCTCTGCCCGCTCGCCTCCTGGGCCTTCTTCGGGGAGCCAGGGGTCTTGGAGTCCATGGACAGGGCTCCAGGCCGCCTGGGGGCCGAGCCCGGCAACGTGGGGCCAGCAGAGGCGGTTCCAGGGTGGTGGTCAGAGCAGACGAAGACGCCGGGCTCTGCTGTGGCCTTGTGGGCCCCCGAGTGCAGCGTGTAGGAGCCCTGCTTACACCTGGGGTAGGCGGGGAAACCGGAGGGGGCTCCAGCCACAGGCGTGTTCCCTCCCGCCTCCCCAGGGCAGGCACACGTGGATCCCGGGTGCCCTCGTGCGGGTGGCAGCTCACTCAACGCACACCTCTTCTCCCAGGCTCCCCCGGGGCCATCAGGGCTGCTCGTCCCATCAGCACGCACACGGGCCCACCTGAAGCAGCTCCGGTGGTACAGCCTCCCATCTGCCAAGTGCCGCTGTACAAGGTGCACGTGCTTCCCGCAGACGCCACAGGTGCTGCTGACAGAGCCAACCGCAGCCTGGCCCTGCCGGGGGAGCCATTGACAGGCCTGCCCCACCTTCCCTCCTCACAGCCGCCCCGTCAGAGATTCCACCGTACAGACGGGAGAGTGTTGGTCCCAGAGGCGGCCCGTGCCCAGGCCGCCGGACTCTGCGTGCAGGGTCTCCAGCCTGGCCCAAGGGCAGGGGGCTGGGGGCTGACTTTGGGGGTCTCCAGAGGCCAGGAGACAGATTCTGGCACCTCCTATTCCCACCCCAAGGTGCAGAAATCCTACCCAATCCCCAGTGCCCCGCCCCAAGTCATCACCCTGTCCCATCTCCACCTCTGAAAAGTGGGGCAACCGTACCTCACTTTCCAGGGCTGGCCTGGGAGTGAAAGACATGCCCACATGCTCTCCTGGCCCTACGGGGTGGGGGGTGGCCTAGGCAAGACACCCGCTCGGGGCCCTACTTGGCCTTCGGGGCCTCCCTGGCCTCGGTTTACCTGTCTGTACAACGGGGATCATATCCTGACCACCACTTGGGGAGCCAGTCCAGGGGGCAGCTGAGGCCGTGTCTGGGACCCGAGGGGACCCCACCCCACCCTGGGCACTGTGGGTTAGGGACACACTCAGGCCCAAGAGCCCCACTCAGTAGAAGCTGGTGGAAAACCCAAGAACCAGAGGGAGGGCGGGCCAGGGTGCTTACAGCCTTCCGCTGGACGGTGGGGTTTGTGCTGACCGGAGACAGCGGCTGCCCCCGGGCTGGGGTGGGCGAAGGCCTGGCAGGTTGGGACGGGGCCTTCTTTCCAGACGGTTCCTCACTGGTGTCCGACAGGGGCCTCTTCACGCCGGCCATGCCCCCAACTGGCACGAGACATACAGGGTCAGGGGCCCCGGCCCCGCATGCTGGCTCTGAAGGACTCTGGGGCCACCCCTGGTCCAGGTTCCCTGGAGGCGCCAGTGCCCAGCCTGGGACCTGGAGCAGGGGGTGGGGATGGGCGGCCCCTGCTCTCTGGGGGCCGGGGAGGGGGGAGGGGTAGCCCCAGTGAGCATCCATTCCCGGCAGGGGCCTGGCCTGCCCCACCTCCTCCCCTCCCCTCAGAGAGCCCTGATCTGAGGTCAGGGAAAAGGCACTTTCTGTTTCTCCACCAAGTAGGGCTCTAAGGCAGGCTGGCCGTGTGCCCAGAGCGATTCCGGGGATTTCTAAGCCCGGGTGAGGCGTGTTGGGCCGGGGCGGGGGGCTGGCCCTCAGCTGCTGGTACACAAAGTGGCTGGAATGATGAAGCCAGGCCGGCCCCTCCCCTGCCCGGCCTGCTCTCAGCCACACCCCGCCAGGGCCAGCTGACCGTCAGCACCACGTGGGGGCCTCTGCGGCAGGGCCTGGGAGCCCACACGGGTCAGCCACGCCGCCCGAGGCAAGAGCTGTGCGCACAGAGAGGGAAAGGCGTGGAGCTGGCTGTCTGCCCGGTGGACAGGGAGGCGGACGGCTGAGCCTGCTCCAGCGGGGGCAATGGGAGGCCTGGGGGCCTGGACCCCGCTTTTCACTTGCAGCTTTTCACTTGCAGCAGGACGTGGAGGAGGTGGCGGCACCTGGCAACCAGGGCAGTGCTGGTGCGGGCTGGGGGGCCGGGCGCGGACCCAAGAGGGAGGGCCATGCAGGCACTCACTGGGGGAGCGCCCGTGGAAGTAGTTGTAGTACTGGGACACGTAGGTCAGGATGCTCAGCCGGTCGGGCACCTTCAGGGCCACCATGTCCTCGGCGTCCAGCAAGGCCGGGATGCCCAGCTGCTCCTCAGCCACACGGAAGGCCTGGGGGGGGCGTGGTCAGCGGGGTGGGCTGGGAGGCCCCTCCCCCGCCTCAGCCAGGCCACCAGCTCCCACCCCACCCCCGGAGGGAAGGTGGGAGAGGCCCGAGGCAACAGAGCCACTTGGAGCCCAGAAAGGTCTGGGTTCAAGGTTCGAGTTCTGCTCGGCCCGCATGGCCTCCCTGGCCTCGGTTTACCCGTCTGTACCACGGAGAGTACAGCCCAATCACAGGATTGAAGGAGCTCTGGGGCCCATCCCGGTGGGTCCTCGGTAACAGCAGCTGAGGCCACGGCCCGGTCCTGAGGGGGCCTTGCCCAGCTCGGGCTATTTGCTCTGGGACTTCGGCCCCAGGTCACCGTGGAGACCCCCTCAATGGCCCCCACACCCGTAAATCTGTACGGCCCTGGCCGACACCGACCTTACAGGTCAGGGGGCAGCTTTCTCCATGGGAGGAGCCTTCCCCAGCCCAGGGGGGACACCTGTGTCCTAGGAGACAAAGCCCAGCAAGGGACACTCACTGGGCAGGGGGTGGGGGTGGGGGTAGGGGTGGGCTCCCCGCCCTGGGGGAGGATGCAGATCTCTGCTGCTGCTTCTTCCCCACCCCTGCCACAGCTGATTCCTCTGCCCCGACTCTGCAGTGGCCTGTGGAGGCTCCTCCCCCCTCCCCTCCTCTCCCTCCCCTCCCTCCCTCCCCCCTCCCCTCC